GCAGAACACCATTGTTGCTTCTTCTGGGAGAAAAACACATAGAGAAAAAATAAAGTTAACAGCTGAAATTGCAGGAAATAATACAGTTAAAGAGCAGATTGTAGAAGAAAGTAGTAGAGTGTGGAAAGTGGTCAGTGTGTCCTCCAGCAGTCTAAGCCTATAGCAGTATAACTACAGAGATAACTCTGGATAACTTAGCCTTTTAGATGGATGCATGTTGGATGCAGGGCAAGGGAGAGCCGTCTTTACCGACTGTACACTCCACCTCCCTCTACTCCCCCACTTGTCCAGATCTAGGCTAATATCAGATTTTAACCATAAGCCCTATCAAATAAAAATGTTTTAAGCCTAGTCTTAAAAGTAGACCAGGTTTCTGCCTCACGGACTAAAGCTGGGTGTTGGTTCCACAAGAGAGGAGCCTGATAACTAAAAGATCTGCCTCCCATTCTATTTTTAGATATTCTGGGAACCACCAGTAAACCTGCAGTCTGAGAGCGAAGTGCTCAGTTAGGAACATATGGAACAATCAGGTCATTGATGTATGATGAAGCTTGATTATTAAGAGCTTTATATGTTAGAAGAAGGATCTTAAAATCTATTCTGAATTTAACAGGCAGCCAATGTAGGGAAGCTAAGACAGGAGAGATATGATCTATCTTTTTAATTCTCATCAGAACTCTAGCTGCAACATTTTGGACAAGCTGAAGACTTTTGACTACATTCTGTGGACTTCCTGAGAGTAATGAATTACAGTAATCCTACCTTGATGTAATAAATGCATGAACTAGTTTTTCAGCATCACTCCTGGAAAAAGAATGCATCTAATCGTAGCAATATTCCGAAGGTGGAAAAAGTAAATCCTACAAACCTGTTTAACGTGGGATTTGAATGACATGTCCTTGTCAAAGATAACACCAACGTTCCTTACTTTGTTCTCAGAGACCAATTTAATGCCATTCAGGTCAGGTGATTGACTAAGCAATTTCCTTTTCTGAATTTCAGGTCCCAAGATGAGAACTTCAGTTGTCTTGATTTAAAAACAAAAAGTTTTGAGTCATCCAATTTTTAATGTCTTCAATACAAGCCTGTAATCTACCTAACCGATTAGGTTCATCAGGGTTAATGGATCGATATAACTGAGTATCGGCAGCATAAAGGTTGGTTCCGCGAGGTCCGCGTGGAAACGTTTCGTCATTTTGCGTCATTTTAACAACCACGCGCCTCCGCACGGCCCAAAATTTCCGTAACGTGCACCTAGGAAATTTTCTAACCACGCGGACGGTCGGACGTGGAAAAACATGGCGGACCGGCAAGAACTAGTATGGCAGAGGTTCGTAAATACAGACATTTGTATGATTCAGCTCTCAAAGGTCACCGTGATCAACATGTTGTTAATAATTCCTGGAGAGAAATAGATTGCACTGTCGGAAAAGACGAGGACGCTGTTAAAAACAGTTGGAATACCATGTTGTAAACAGTAATTTCTACTTCTACTATGGTGTAGTGTTGGATGCATGCCATAGAGCTCCATGCTGCCCTGTTCAGTTTGGGAGAATATTGGCTCACCGCAGAGACAAGCCGCACGAACCATAAACGCTGCGAGTTGTGAAGCGCGTTCCATCCGCAAGCCGCATCACCAAGCGGAAAGTGAATGCGTCAATCATAAACCAAGCTTTACAGTGGAAGTTTATCCCATGCTGTCTAATGATTTTACCAATTGGGAGCATATATAGTAAAAATAATATTTCCAAGCACTGAACCCTGTGGTACTCCACAAGTAACCCTGGAGTATGAAGATTTGTCATGTACGTTTACAAAATGATATCTATCAGACAGGTAGGATTTAAACCAGCCTAGCGCTGTTCCTTTGATCCCTACAACATGTTCAAGTCTTTCTAAAAGAACATTGTGATCAACTGTCAAAAGCAGCACTGAGATTGAACAAGACTAGAACAGACACAAGATTCTTATCTGAGGCCATGAGAATATCATTTGTAACTCTCACTAATGCAGTTTCAGTGCTGTGATACTCTCTAAAACCAGACTGAAATTCCTCAAGCAGATAATTAGTGTTTAAATGCTCACATACTTGGATGGCCACTATTTTCTCAAGGACTTTGGATAAAAATGGAAGGTTAGATATTGGTCTACAATTCATTGGGTCATCTGGATCCAGAGAAGGCTTCTTAAGTAAAGGTTTGATAACAGCAACCTTAAAATCTTGTGGTACGTATCAATTTACTAAGGATAGATTGATCTAGAATGGGGTCAGTAACCAAAGGAAATGCATCTTTAAGTAATTTGGTTGGGATTGGATCTAAAATGCAAGATGAAGGTTTAGATGAAGCTAATATTTTTGATAACTCTGAAAGCTCAACTGGATCAAAACGGTTCAAACACAGATGAGGTTCTACAGTTATGGTTAATCCAGCTTGACTGGCCCGCTGAGCTGAGAGAGATTCCTGTCGTTCAATTCTGGAGCTCATGCGGGCTTCTGTGAGCTGGATCCAACCCAGAAACCAGCTTGACTGGCTCACTGGTATTTTTAAAAGACATGCATCCTCTCCTGGTGGTCCAGGCAGCGGTTCTGATGAAGTTCCAATGCAAAAACCAGCTTGACTGGCCCACTGAACGTGATCGGTTCTGACGGTGATCTGAGTTCCAGAAATACGCATTTAATTTTTTAAACCCCGCCACAGGTTTGGAGGCCAGCACGGACCATCCTGTCCTGGTACCGACTGATGTGGGCTACAGAAGTCCGTCTTTTCAGCTGCATAAAATGCCCTCGGGCACAGAGATGGAGGTGTTGTTCCTCTTATTTGGAAACCCTTGGACTCGATGTCCAGACAGGCTTGAGTTGGTACAGCCTTCAAAAACTGTAGTTTATCAAAATGAACACAATCCAAAACTAGTAAACACACTCACACTGACTCAGTAACATGACCTTTCTACCCTAAGTCTACCCACTCTCCACACTGAGCTGAGGCAGCTCCTAGCTTCTAACTCCCTTTGGTTACATCGGAGGTTAAAATTTAGAAAAAAGAACCTTTTTAGAGGCTTTGCTGAGAAAGGCCTCTTTTTACTGGAAAAACTCTGCTGTTATGTATTTTAAAACCAAATTTCCACAATAAGTATTTCAAATAGTATTTTTGGACAGCTTTTTATATGAATTAGAAAAAAATGTTACCTGCAATTTGCTCTTTAAGGTAAAACTGATGCATCAGTTTTTATTTAGAAATATTTCAGGCCATTGTGGAGTTTATAATTCCTCCAGTGACCCTAATTAAATGTTTGCTTTCATTCTCAGAGCGCTTCAGCTGTTTGTTAAATAAGCAGTGACTACCTTAGATCTCTGCTTTGATGACCTGAAATGGCAAATAGCTTCAGATCTTTTACACATTTGTTGTTGCTATTGCGATGACCCAAAGCTGAGGTTGCGAGGATAATTGACTAGGCTAACTGGTTTAGCCTTGTTCCATTCCATGGTATCTTCAACACCTTCAAGGTGTGGTTCAGCTGCACCCAATTAGCTGCTGATATCATATTCCAACAGTCACAAAGAAGAACTTGAAATATTTCAACTATTCTTCCAGGTATATTGAAGTAACGATGTTTTTTACAGTAAAATACAGTCAAACTTTTCTGGTAGCTGAAATGCTCATTAGCTGTGTTTCCATTGTAGGAGTTCTGGGAAATTTCTAGGAGGAGCAAAGGTGACTTGAAAAATAAGTTGGCTATGTCCACTTGTCTGTTTTGTCTTCATACAACATTGTTCCTTTCAGGAGTTAAAGATGTCAGCATGTCACTCCTGCTTCAGCAGTGAGTGATGTCACTCATCAGCGCCAAAAGACGTCCACGGACGTTAACTCGTTCAATGCCTGCAGTTTCCTGATCAGAAAAGCCCTTCGCTGCCAGCATTTTTCAGCATTTTCACTGTTTTCTTTTAAGAGTCACAGAACGTTGCGCGCTAGGATGATGTCAACGCCAAAACTACCAAAACAAAGAGCAGACTGACTTCTTACATTAGGAATAATCCGCGCGTTTCGAGCGTTATCCGTTCTTTCATAATCCGTTGTCGAATTGTGATCGGCAGAAGCTTTTTCGGTTCACGCCTCACTTTTATTTACAGCAGCGGCCCAAAACAATCTCCTGACACATGGATTTTCTGCTTCCTGATCACGTGATGTGTGACGTACGCGGATGAAGATCAGCTTTAGAGCTGGGATGTTTGTTCTCACGGTGCGGGGGCTCGTTCCGACGCCCACACAGTAAAAAAAATGCAAATGATGACTTTATTCGTCAATGGCATTTAATGAGTTAGTAACATAAAACATTTATTCTGTCAAAGTACACCACAATTTTATCCATTCAGAGGACCGAGGCAGTGGCTGTGTGATGTAAAAGGTGCATTCAATGACTAGAAGAATTGCTGCTTTTTACGGCGCTCCTGAGACAACAACGTGCTGTGCTTTATGGCGTTCCACAACATTTTTTGGTGTTGCGCGTTTGTCTTCCATTCCGCATCACCAGCAACTCCACTAATTTTACAAATGTTTGGAAATGTCTGCCAACATAATTTCCTGCTTTGTTACAACCAGTCAGCATGAGTTAACCCCAAGTACCGCCCAGCGACTGTACCGGGCCATTTCAGAGTACATACCCCAGTTCAGGTACTCGGCTTGGTCATGAATAGCCCAGACAGTCATCCTCTTAGGGCGGCCCGTTAAAATGGAGACACGCTCATGTCGTGAAGGTCCCACAAAATGACCTGGAAGTTCCCATAGTGGAAAAGAACCTGGCATAAAAGCAGGATGAGGAGACACTACGTGGACGTGGACCTTTATTCTCATTTATTTATATTTCAACATGTTCTTCCAAAGGTGTTCATTTCATGAATAAAAGTAATGAAGTAATGAAAGTGTCAGCTAAATGAACCGATAAAGATCGTAACCGAAGCTCATCATCATGAGTGATGTAATGAACAAAATGTTTTTCTGCAGGCAGGAAGTGATGGTCAGAGCATCGGGAACTGTCCTTTCTCTCAGCGTCTCTTCATGGTCCTGTGGCTGAAAGGAGTCACCTTTGACGTCACCACGGTGGATATGAAGAGGTAAACTCCTGTCCTGCACGTGTGTCTGTTTTGGTTTTTATCTGGCAGAGATGCAGGTTTGTGTTGGCACAACAGACAAGTCCACCCGTAGTTTTGTAAAGTCTATGAATGAGGCTTTTCTTTCAGCTTCTGAAGTTTAAGACCTAACGTGTAATCTGAAATATTTACAGTTAAACATTATTTTCACCCCTCCTTTTTCTGACTTTCAATATTGGTTCCTCTCCTCAGAAAACCAGAGATCTTGAAGGACTTGGCCCCCGGTGCTCAGCCTCCTTTCCTGCTGTACGGCAGCGAGGTGAAGACAGACACCAACAAGATCGAGGAGTTCCTGGAGGAGAACCTCTGCCCTCCACAGTAATCACATCGTTTGTTTATGTTATGATGGAAAGTTGAAGTTCTTGCTGAAGGTTGTTGACAAAAATATTGGAATTTTGTGGGGGTTTTTTTTAAATGTTTTTGCAAAAAAGAATCCTGGTATTTATTGGTAAACAAAAAAACTGAACTGGTTAGTTGTTGAGATGCACTTACTATCTTTGATGGGTTTTTTTTGGGGGGGGGGGTGTTTTTTTACCAGACGCTAACTTTTAAAGGCTGGCATGAGTGTGGTGTTTAATATATAACAAATTTTCATCATTTTATTTAAAAAAGACCCTTAAATGTGTCATTTACTCATTTATTCAATACATTTGCAGTGTTCTCTAATGTAAGTCAATGCCTTATGCAGAAGTTTGCTGGTGCAGAGGTGGGCTGAAAAGAGCAGGATTGGTCATTTTTGCACACACCTCACTTCTGATAGGCTAACAGAACACATTCAGACCTACCAAGCACTACCAGAACAGGAGCTTCCTTTTCAATTTTCAAGAAACTCCTGAAGACCCTGCTCTTCAGAGAGCATCTTCTAAACTAGCACCCTCCCTGCACCTGTCCCCCCTCTCTACTGTCCACTCCTTGTTCCCTCCTCCCCATGATATACGTCAAGTTGTTGTTGTTGTTAGCCTCAAGGGCAACATGCCGATTATCACTTGTAAGTCGCTTTGGACAAAAGCATCTGCTAAATACATAAACATAAACATGTTGTAAAGTCGCTATCACCAAGACACTTTCCGCTCTCTCTCCTCAATGCAAACATTTGTTAAAAAATCCTTCCTGTGGGCGGGCACAAGCCATCATGGGCGAAGCCATGAATGCTAAATCAGTGTGACATCACAGTGTGAGAATTTTCAAATCCTAGCATTTCACATTATTTTCTATCAGAAACTAACGCAGGAGATCGTTGTAGACGACTGCTTTCATATTCAGCCTGCAAGAAAAACTCCGTTACCAATTCTAATCAGAAATAAAATAGTTCTGTCAGTCAGCCACAGTTTTATTAACCAAGGGTTGTTTCCGTTTTCATGTGATTTTAGGGAGTATTTGTTTAGTTTGTTATTCTGTCTGGTAGGTATCCACGCCTGGCTGCTCGTAATCCCGAGTCCAACACAGCAGGTTTGGACATCTTCGCTAAGTTTTCTGCTTACATCAAGAACTCGAACCCTCACATGAATGACAGTAAGTAGATTTCAGACAGAAGCAGTTACATTTGTTAAATTTTCTACTTTCTCAAAAAAAAAATCCATTCTTTTAAAATGAAAAGGTGAAATGCTCTCTGCCTCTGCACCCAGACCTCGAGAAAGGCCTGCTGAAGGCTCTGAAGAAGTTGGACGTCTACCTCGGCTCCCCACTTCCTGATGAGATCGACGAGAATAGCGCTGATGAGGTCACATCCTCGTCTCGCCCTTTCCTGGACGGCCACGAGCTCACTCTGGCTGACTGTAACTTACTGCCTAAGCTCCACATCGTAAAGGTACCCGCCCGTGTCTTACCCCACCGCTGTGGCTTTGTGATCTAGCTACTCAACGCTGCCTCTCTTTATCAGGTGGTGTGTTTGAAATACAGAAAATTCACCATCCCAGAGTCCCTCACCAACGTCTGCAGGTACTTGAACGCAGCGTACGCGAGGGAGGAGTTTTCTGCTACCTGTCCGGTTGACGATGAGATCCACATTTTTTACTCCTCGGTAGCTAAAGCTCTGCAGTAGGAGGAGAACGAGTTCGGTTTCCCTGCCGATGTGAGGTCAGGGTAATATTTCCTTTTCATTTTTACTTAGTAACATTGGAGCGCTGTACGCCCACAGGTGTGTCTTTTGTATTCTCACTTCAATCAGACTCTGTTTACATCAGCAGCAGATCCAGGAAACTGGTGAGGTGAAAGCCTTGTCAGACGTTCTGGTGACCTGTCAGAACAACAAATGCATTCTGCTTCTTTTGTGTTTGTGGAGTAGATGCTTCCATTTACTCACACGCCCGCCTAATGGATCAAATGTTGGCTTCATGAGCCTCTCACAGCCTGATTCTCCTTGTTTATTATGATAAGTAAGGGAAGTGAAGTTTGCATAGCCCACACCAGCCCACCTGCCAACGCCAGTTTTATTGTTTGTCTTTAAAAAAAAAAGTCATACCAGCTCGATTCCAGAAATAACACTTTTTTCAATGATTTGTTTAGAGCTTTTTAAGGTTGCACAGTGAGCGCTGAAAACCGTTGAACAGGAAACAGTTTGAATAGAGCGGGGTTTCCCCTTTCTGCTCTCCCACAGCAGGCATGAAGGATTTTTTAAGATTACTGTTGGTGATCTGCTGTGAAGGCACCAATTTCGCACCGTCCTTGTGAAGAAAAGAAGCTCCTGCTTTCTTACATTAGTAGAAAAACACAGAAAGAAACACGACGAAGCATAAAGGAAGTTTAAACAGGAAGCAGGTTTGATATATTTTATTTGTGACTTGTTTTAGTATTTTAAAGCTTTTTAAGTCATGTTTGGATTAATTCACATGTACTACCAAGAAACGAGAAAGCTGATGTTCCCCGCTCATCATTCCTATAAATATCTATTTTAGTATTCTGATGTAAATTATAAAAACATTTATTGACCCAGAGCTTCTCTACACGCCAAGTAAATGTGTTAAAGTTGTTAAAAGTTACATAAAGAAGCTTTTCCAGTTTCAAAAAGAGCACCCAAGTGAGTCTAACATTTAAAATCAAGTGTGGGAAATGTGTTTTCTTTTTTTGTCAGATTGTTCATAAAATCAAAGTAGGAAGATTTAGTTACCAGTTTATGGTTAAAACAGCTTTTTACAGTCTTAGCCTTGTTTATAATACGCTATTTTTTCCTGGTTGTGGGACGAGTTCAGTGCTGGTTTTCTTTTGCATATTCCTCCATCTAGTGGTCGGTTACTAGCTTGATCAAGTTAAGTTTAAAGACCAAGTTCACTTGTTTTTTTCAACACGTGCAGTGGTCTGTACTATAAATGAAGTCCTTGTGAGTTGATCCTGTGGGAAAAAAGCTCTGGCGCTTCTGTTTCTGGAAGTAGAAGTTAGCCTGAGCCGAGGGGAGCAGAAGACGGCAGGTTTGGGAGTCTTATTTCCTGATGTTTGGACATCTAGCCTCTGATTAGCTAACAGCAACACAACTCACATGCCTGAAGAAGTTCTGCTGTGTGGTGGAGTTGCTAAAGCTAACAGTTAGCCTTTATTAGCTGAGACGAGCTCTGCTGTTTCCTGGATGCGAAAACAACAGCCTTACGTGTTGGGAGTCTAGATGGGTGAGTCCATGAATGCTAATTTAATATTCTCACGTGCAATTGTCACGGGCTTTTCCATTCCGAGCATTTCCTCGTCTAGTTTCTATCGGCGACTAATGCAGGAAATAAGTAAAAAATAGTTTTTCAGTGAACTTGGTCTTTAAAATGTCTGCATGCTTCCTGTCTCCGTCATTAACAATAGAACCATTTAGGAATTATGATTTATCATGAAGTTTGAAGCTGTTAATTAGCCAGTGACCAAAACTGGACTAGTTTAATATTTTTTTGTTTTGTTTTCCTGGGTCACTGAATGCACCATAACTAAGCATCTGGTTAAAAGCTGTAAAGACAAGTAAAGAAGGCTTTTTAAATAAAATAAGCATGCTTGACAATTAGACAAAAACAATTGTTTCCGAATTTGACCTACCCCCTCTGGGAGCGGTGAGCTGCAGCAGTGGCTGCGCTCAGGAACTATTTGGTTGTTTAGCTACCACTTTAACAGGTTACACATTTAGTTTTTCAGGTGAAAAATATATGAAAAAGCTGTAATTTGTTCTGTTTTATATATTTTTAAACATTACTAGTAATTGGGTAAACTACCAGAAGCTGAAAGAGTGAGAATGCTGTAATACGGTGCTTTTTAGATGTTGTAAACATTTTCTACAGTAAAACATTATGAACACAAAAATAACCAGAAATGAGGAGAAATTTTTATTTTATTATAGTTAAATCAGCTGATTAGAGCTTTACAAAGATTTGGAGTTCATTGATTTGACTGGAATTAATTTAAAAAGATGTAATTACGGTGCCATTCATTACTTTTGGCTAGATTAATTATCTTTAAATGAGCTTCTTTTCATAATAGTAAACTAATTTTAAATTAATTTAAACTAATTCTCAATTATCTCATGAACTTGAAGCTGTTTGTAGGATATAATGAAGTTAATTGAGTGTACAGTCAGGTCCATAAATATTGGGACATCGACACAATGCTAACATTTTTGGCTCTATACACCACCACAATGGATATCAAATGAAACAAACAAGATGTGCTTTAACTGCAGACTGTCAGCTTTTATTTGAGGGTATTTACATCCAAATCAGGTGAACGGTGTAGGAATTACAACTGTTTGCATTTGTGCCCCCCACTTGTTAAGGGACCAAAGGTAATGAAACAGAATAAGAACCATAAATCAAACTTATACATTTCAATACTTGGTTGCAAATCCTTTGCAGTCAATTACAGCCTGAAGTCTGGAACATAGACATCACCAGACGTTGGGTTTCATCCCTGGTGATGCTCTGCCAGGCCTCTACTGCAACAGTCTTCAGTACCTGCTTGTTCCTGGGGCATTTTCCCTTCAGTTTTGTCTTCAGCAAGTGAAATGCATGCCCAATCGGATTCAGGTCAGGTGATTGACTTGGCCATTGCAAAACAGTCCACTTCTTTCCCTTCAAAAACTCTTTGGTTGCTTTTGCAGTATGCTTTGGGTCAATGTCCATCTGCACTGTGAAGCGCCGTCCAATGAGTTCTGAGGCATTTCAGAATTCATCGAGCTGCTTTTGTCAGCAGTCACATCATCAATACATACAAGAGAACCAGTTCCACTGACAGCCATACATGCCCACACCATGACACTTCCAGCGCCATGCTTCACTGATGAGGTGGTATGCTTAGGATCATGAGCGGTTCCTTTCCGTCTCCATACTCTTCTCTTCCCATCACTCTGGTACAAGTGGATCTTGGTCTCATCTGTCCATAGGATGTTGTTCCAGAACGGTGAAGGCTTTTTTAGATGTTGTTTGGCAAACTCTAATCTGGCCTTCCAGTTTTTGGGGCTCACCAATGGTTTACATCTTGTGGTGAACCCTCTGTATTCACACTGGTGGAGTCTTCTCTTGATTGTTGACTTTGACACAGATACACCTACCTCCTGGAGAGTGTTCTTGATCTGGCCAACTGTTGTGAAGGGTGTTTTCTTCACCAGAAAGGATTCTTCGGTCATCCACCACAGTTGTTTTCTGTGGTCTTCCGGGTCTTTTGGTGTTGCTGAGCTCACTGATGCATTCATTGTTTTTGAGAATGCTCCAAACTGTTGTTTTGGCCACGCCTAATGTTTTTGCCATCTCTCTGGTAGGTTTCTTTTGTTTTTTTCAGCCTAATGATGGCTTGCTTCACTGATAGTGACAGCTCTTTGGATCTCATCTTGACAGTTGACAGCAACAGATTCCAAATGTAAATCACACACTTGAAATGAACTCTGGACCTTTTATCTGCTCATTGTAATTGGGATAATGAGGGAATAACACACACCTGGCCATGGAACAGCTGAGAAGCCAATTGTCCCATTACTTTTGGTCCCTTAACAAGTGGGAGGCACATATGCAAACTGTTGTAATTCCTACACCGTTCACCTGATTTGGATGTAAATACCCTCAAATAAAAGCTGACAGTCTGCAGTTAAAGCATATCTTGTTTGTTTCATTTGATATACATTGTGGTGGTGGTGTATAGACAAAAATGTTAGCATTGTGTCGATGTCCCAATATTTATGGACCTGACTGTAAATGTGACAAAATTACACCCAAGTGCAATTTAAACATGCTAATGAATGTAAAATTAGTAAATATTAGAAATGAGTTAATTCACGTAATTGATTGGTGTTCATGAGAGTTTTAATCTGATTTAAGAGATTTGGATTTAATCTGTTTTTCTTTCATAATTTGGATTTAAAGGGATTGAGTCTGAATATATTTAGGAAGTAGGAACATTGTTTTCTTACTGTAGGCTTAAGTCAAGAACCAATCTAACATGTTAAGTTCATTACAATGTTTTGGTTTTTCATTTCAAACGGTGTAATTTTAAAAATATATATTAATCTTGTCATGTTTTTCACTGTTGTTGTCTGTTTTAATGCTGATCATTTAGTTAGAAGTGCACTCCACGGGATCAAACTGATGTGGATCTAAATCGCTAGTGATGACAGTCTAACACACAGAAGAGCTGATTGTATTTTTTTAATCATTTTTATTCTTCCAATAAAACATCTTCATTACAAACATGTTTGTGACGGGTGCTTTATTTTTTCAGGGTGGATCGGTGCTGGATATTTGATAGTTTCAAATAACATTTAAAAAAATGGTTTGATGAAATAAAATAATAAAAAAGCTTAATTCAGTTTTTAGCGTTTATGATTGTGTCTACTATAGTGTTTGCACAGCGGGGGGAAACAATAATAAAACATGTCATTTTTTTGTTTACATTAGATGCATTTTTTCATATTTCCTTTTTAGTAGGCTATATTTCTTATCAGAGCCATGTTACTTTGATATGTGGGTGGAGAAGGACTCTGAAGCAGGCTTGACCAGCCCTTTAGAGTAGAGCTGTAGCTGGATGACGTCTTTTCTTCTACTGCTCATTTGTACGTAGCTTCGCTACTGCGACATCCACCACCTGGTGGTGAGTAAATGTTACAGCAACCGATAACCCCCATACATTTATAAACCATAAAAACAAAACATTAGTAAAATAAGTGAATTTTGTAAAAGTTGGCTGTTGCGTCCATAGGCGTCATTTTAACCGGGGACGCCGGGGACATGTCCCCGGCAAAATTCGTGATTGGCAGCTGTGTCCCCCCCACTTTCAAAAAAGCCTGCTGATGAGGATTTTTGTTTTACCAGCTCAGATCTTATACCAGGGGTCGGCAACCTGTTCCCATCAAAGAGCCATTATTACCCATTTCCCACGGTAAAGAAAACACCGCAGCAGCCGCAGCGTTGCGGGCGGGGCCTACCCTCAGACAGCAGAGAGCTGCTCACAACCAGGTGACAGCAGCAGGTACCGGTCGCTCGCATGGACATCGCACCCGTGGGGGATTCAACACCCACACTTTTCCAGCTGTTTGCTCACCTCCACACCAGTCTGGTTTCTTTACGTCGCACTCACTCTGTTTGCCTCATCTCCTTCTTCACCTCCCAGCGATGTCGGTTTCCAGGAGAGCAGGAGAGGGAGGGACGGAAGAGCTCGACTGAATTCATAATTTTACATCTTGACATTAGCTGTACAAAGTCTGAGTTTGATAAAGTGAAGAACAACAATTTGCAGAGGTTTATAACTGGCGCGGCGCCAGGTTTTCATTTTTGGGTGGGCCACAGTAATTCTGGACGAACCTTAATAAGCAGTGACTTAGTGAAGCAGGCAGGTCGCGCTAGAAAATTTAGTTTAAAAAGACGTCATAAATGTTTTCCCCCATCATTTTTATTTCTAAAATATGAAGTAAAAACTCACAATTTAATTTTCATTCATTTGTCATTAATATTTAGTCTACACCCGTGCGTTAAGTGGACCATCTTCCAGTAAACGCAAAGCATCCAGTCCACCTCTCCAAATGCGTAAAATGTGCATCAGCCGCTAGTTAGGCGTGCCGCGCGCACCATCAGCTGATCAGCCCAGACAAAAGCAGAGCAAATAGAGAAAGAATAGAGGATGATTGTGTCTGGATGTGGATGGAGATTACATTTTACAGCAGCCTGATCATCATTTAAATACGTAAACCATCACCTGTCTTCTAGTCCACGCTATCAGCATTATTTTAATTGGTGTGTGTGTGTGTGTGTGTGTTTTCCACTTCAAACACTGGTCTAACCAACCAGACCAGCGTGTCCAGTAACACATTAATGTTACAATTAAACTTGATTAACCCCAGAGCCGTGCGCACTGCACTGTACTGACTGTAAATGAGGGGAAACGATTTAATCGGATCCTTTACTTTTCAACATGGTTTAATGTAAAGTTTCATTCAGTACAAACTTTAGTTACACCAATCTAACGAGACAGAGCCTAGATTTGTATTCTGAACAGTTTAAACATGTTTGAAACGGAGACATGCGTGACGCGTCTAAAATTCGCACCTGCTCCGCTATTACGGAAATTAAACTAACAAGATGAATAACATGAAATTATTTTAGGCACAGACAACATCCCCCACACTTTTGAAAAGCTTGCAACGCGCCTGATCGCTCATGTACGTCTTAATTATCTTTCATTAGACGATAATCAATAAAACGATTTATATAAAGTGGATCCAGAAGTAGTAGCCCGTCTCTGCCTTCAATTTTTGGTATTTTTCACCCTGTTGATGGTTTTACTGAGCAGGTGCCACTTTTGTCCTACGTTTCTTTTTAAAACATGTTTAGACTGTTCAGAATACAAATCCAGGCTCTGTCACGTTTGATTGTTGTAATTAAACTTTGTAGGTGGGGAAGGTCAGAAAGCAGCTCAGAAGCGCCGACATGATTATGCACAAGCGTGACGCGTCAACCCGGTCTCACAGTAAGACCGGGTTGGAACTGTTCAGGTTTACGCAGACAATCTTTACATTTAGAATTAGCTTACAGATGTAAAATTAATGCAGTAAAATATAAAGCTTTTTATTTAAATATCCATTCATTATTTCACAAGCACAGAGAGCCGCATCAGATGGATGGAAGAGCCGCATGCGGTTCCAGAGCCGCCGACCCCTGTGCTAGCCTACTTTATTGTCCCCAGCAATTTTTAAACCCCACTCAAGTGTATGGTTATTGTCCCCAGCAATTCTGAAAACAAACTGACGCCCTTGGTTGCGTCTGCTTGGGTGGAAAACTGAAGGACAATAATTTAAAAATGGTTAAAACAAACTTGTTTAGCTGATGTGAAAGCTAGCATTAGCATTGTAGCATGGTTTGCTGCTAATAGGAATTGAGATCCTAGCAAGCCCTAGCTAGCTGCGAATGTAACACTCAGATTCAAGTGAGAGCTTAAGAAATTTGTGTTTATTTTTGCTTTTTATCAGTCATTTATGCAAACAATTATAGGAAAAAAGTTCTGAAGCAATTCATTGATAAAAGAAATTATCAAGTATTGTGTCAAAATTTGTTGTCTTACAAGCTGTGTCACTGATTTAAATTACTGTATCCTTAGAATAAATTGCCCTGACATCTAGACGTATGCTTCGCCCCCGATTCTCAAGCTAGCAGGAGGGTAATTGCCAGCAGCATCCAGAGAACCATTCCTCTCCAGCACAGAGCACCAAAAGACCCGGCTCTGTTACACAGATCTGTGTCGCAGCAGTCGTTGGTGTAGTTAAAGTAGACACCTGAGGTGTATTTCTGTCCACTCAGGCCACACTGAGAAGAGACGGCACAGCTTTTCTCATATATCGTCATTTGGACAACACCTGAGAAGACAGATTACAGAGTGTAGATGAGTAACTACTGGAAATCTTACAAAATCAGGGGGGGGGGGGGGGGTACTTTAAGATAAAGTAAACATTTTAAACCAAAATTAGCCAAAGTGATTATGATTTAAAAACAGCAATTTTTTAGTTGCAGATTGGAGTTCTTATGGAAAGGCATATTTTCGTTCGTTACTTTTGGCCCTACTGTAACTAGCCTTTATGGGCCATTCCCATCAGTACTGGGTCGGCCGGGTAGCGTAGGTTGTTTACATATCTGGGTGGCCTGGTATTTTTCCGGGCCAACCAAGGCTCATTCTCAGCCCTCTTCTCGAGGGGGTCTGCTTCAGGCCGACCAGGGCCAACACACCCACTGCTGACAGCAAATCCACACCTTCCATTAGAGCAAGCCTCTGATTGGTGGGTAGAATCAGCCCACATGGGCTCAAGGCAAGGATGTGTGGAATCAACCGGGCCAGGCTGGGGCCGACTGGGGCTACCCGGCCCGGGCCGACCCGGTACAGATGGGAATGGCCCATTAGTTTATCAATCCAGTTAGATGAGCTACTGCAGGGGTGTCAAACTCATTTTAGCTCAGGGGCCACATTGAGGGAAATCTAGTCCCAAGTGGGCTGGACCGGTAAATTAAAAAAAAACTTCAGATTGTTTTCTTTGTTTTAATACAATCAATATAAAACCAGGCTGGAGCCTGAGGACAGTGTAGTACAAGTACAACACCTGAATTGTACTTGAATATTTGAAAAAAATTTTAAAAATCAACAAATAAAAAAAAACATTCCTTAGTGATTCAAAGAGCTTACAGATCACATGGCAAGATCAGTTTCATGCAGCACTTAAAGTATATTTGACTCATTTTACTTTACATCTTTTAGCTTTCACCAGCACATCAATATCAGAAGTCACATCCTGAGTGGCGGCCAACTTCAGGATGTGATTCAAGTTCTTGTGTGAGCCTTGAGCACAGCTTTGTTTTATTTATACTCATTACAGAGGAAACTAAGTATATTTTCACTCTACAAGGTAAAGTATGAAAATAAAGTTTACACAACCATCTCGTGGGCCGGATTTAACCCGCTTGCAGGCCGGATCCGGCCCGCGGGCCGCATGTTTGACACCCCTGAGCTACTGTATCTACACGAGGTAAAATATTGTTTCTATTAAAACCGACTTTGACCTGAATTGACTATCCCTTCAGACTGAATTCTTAGCAAAACAAACAGACTGAACAAGTCGCCACACCCATAGTTCGCCGAGGCTTATTTTTGGATCATTTCATCTCCCTTAGTTAGCCGGCAGACAGACGTTTAACTTGATTATGAATCTTCATCTCTTCAACTGAGAAAACCAGACAGTATTTTGTTTAGTTGATTTTGCAGTGCAATTTTACATTTTCAAATGATAATTTTCCTGTCTGAGACGCAGAAACAGAAGAGTACATAAATCTGGGCCTCACCTCGTCTTCCTGTCGCCTGACTGGAGAGGCAGCGCTGCCCAGCGGGACACTCTAGAGGAAACTTCAGGCAGTCCATTGGGGAGATGGCCGGAAACACACAGGTGTAACAGCTCAAGCAGGCTGCAATAAAGATTACCTGACTTTAAATTAAAACGCATGGCCATTGGATTGTTGATAAATACATCTATTGTTAAGATTTACTGCAGGTACGTTTTTAACAATCTGAAGTTTTGTTTTCTAGATTGTTTTTTCTTTAAATTTGCTAAAACATGTCATTTTCAAATCATGTTAAAAATAAAATTAGTTTTGCCCCCTGGTGGACATAAAGAGAAGTTACACAAATTTAGTTTAGCAAAAAAAAAAAGGACCAGAGTTATGGTTTGGAAGCAAATTAAGTGTCACAAGTTTAAACAATGCAAAATATATACAAATCTATGACATTATGCTTTTTCCACTTTTAAGTAAAAAATTAAAGCATTTAAAGCTGTATTTGCACTGTGTATGTATGTACATTTGAGAAAAACACTTCTACTTTAGTAAATTACTCAGCTATTTATGGGAAACCTGTATAGTGTGTGATTTTATCGCTCTTATGTGAAGTTTTAATATATGCATTTAATAATATATACAATCGCTGAATAATTCATAAAAAGATAACGTCATACCTGCCAACTGAAGACAGCTCAGGAGTCCGATCAGATGCTGCAAACGAATCATCATTCTCCCTGTCCTTTAAGAATCCCACAAGCAGCACCCAAAAAACCTGTCCCTGAGATCCCAGTACTCTAAATGTTTGATCTGCTGCGTCCCCCAACTCACTCCCTAATTAAATGTCTCCTCTTCTTGTAAAATTGTCAATAATCTGATGAAATTTGCCTCCTTATTTGTTTTTTATTCCACCAGCAGCTGAGTATTTCCTCTCCCTTAAGCTCTTTGTGCTGCTGTGATTCTCAGACCTGCAACGTCTCCGTTCTGGGAGCTAAAATTGAATTTAGAGAGGTAATTGTGAACGGCTGACATGCCTTAAAACCTAGATTTTTATCTTGTCATGCTTATATGAAGCTGAACGGGTCTTAACTTAATCAGCATGAGATTTAATGATTGAATGAACTGATAAGCAGCTGACAAAGAATGAGAGAAAGATGAATCTGGCAGCACGAAAACTGAAATTAGAATGAAGAAGTCGAGAAAACGCGTGAGAAAAGTCAGAGGTATTTTTAGAGCAACAAAATTAGCAGAAATATAAAGGATCAGTCTGAGAATCTGAAGATTTCTGGACATTCAGAGGCTAATTTTAGAGAATTTGCATTTAAAGTCAGGAACAAAAATCTCAGATTTCAGTTCTTCATGTGTCACCACAGTTTTTCCAAATAAAACTGTAACACTTCCTTTTACAGTCCCCTAATTACTAAGTACTTACATGGTAATTACATAGTAAATTAAAGTGTATTATTGTTTCTGAGTTCTTAAACAGACGACTCTCCCTTGCCCTGCCTCCAACATGACTTCATCTAAATAGGATAGATTATCCAGAGTTATCTCTGTAGTTATACTGCTATAGGCTTAGACTGCTGGAGGATACACTGACCACTTCTCACACTCTACTGCTTTCTTCTACAGTCTGCTGTTTAACTGTATTACTTTCTGCAATTTCAGCTGTTAACTTTATTTTCTCTCTAAGTGTTTTTCTCCCCAGAAGAAGCTACAACGATGTTCTGCTGAGCTGTGGTGGCCTCATGGAGGGGGCCATCGTCTAGCACACTGCTGCTAACCACTTAAACATTCTCCCTCTCCTGATAATAACTTTTTACTTGCCTTGACGTTGGACGTGTTACTGCTAGTTTACCCATTTAATTAGAGATCCACTAGGATAAATACAATAAAGTTTATCTCACCAAATAGAATATTTACTAAGACATCACAATAGAACTATAGACACATTATTGTGCGTGCGTGCGTGCGTGCGTGCGTGCGTGCGTGCGTGCGTGCGTGTGTGTGTGTGTGTGTGTGTGTGTGTGTGTGTGTGTGTGTGTGTGTGTGTGTGTGTGTGTGTGTGTGTGCTCTGTCTTCTCGATCCCCAGTGAGTCGTGGTGGATGGCTGCTTATACTGAGCCGGGATTCTCTGGAGGTTTCTTCCTGTTAAAAGGGAGTTTTCCTTTCCACTGTCGCTGCATGCTTGCTTGGTATGAGGATTGCTGTATAGTCACTGACACTAGTCAGTGACTTGATGCAATTTGCTGGGTTCCTTATATAGGAAACATTATTTCTGATTGGCTTAATGAACTGTGAATTGGAATGTTTATTATGTGAAGTGCCTTGAGACGACTCTTATGATTTGGCGCTATATAAATAAACTTGAATTGAATTGAATTATTACCATGAAACTCAGGTTCAGTTCTAGTTTTTATTTTTATTAATCACTCCCAATAAATACTGCTTTAAACAATAATTACACTTTATTACAATTATACGCTTTAATTACACAGTAATACACTTTAACTTACTGTGTAATTACCATGTAAGTACTTAGTAATTAGGGGAGCCGCGTTACCAATAAAACTGGTAATGCTGGACTCATTCTATTCATAAAGTGAATTATGCAACAAAAGTATCAGTTTGTGTAAAACACACACATGTAAACCACTGCACTTTTGTGCATGAGTGATACTTGTTCAATACTTTGTTTTAGGAATAATTAATGCAGAATAATTTTGTATTTTTGTCATTTCAAATGTAAACATGTATTTATCATGTTTTCTACACTTTTTAGGTATTTCTGAATTAAATTTGTTCTGACTTAAAAGCTTAAATTTGAAGGTGAATTTTTTTAAATTAGTACTCAAATAATGACCCAAATGATATGGAAAGCAATCAGAATTTTTTTTATGCAAACGTAAATGTCAGATCATTTAATTTAAACCTAAATGAGCACCTCGTGTGTCTTTTTTAAAATTCCCTAAATTCCTTACATTTGCTCTTTTCACAGTTTCAGTTTGAGTTCCTGCCATTTATTTGCATCACAATCAATACAAAACGAGACGTTTCTCAACTGAAGTGAAAAGTCTGACGCTAAATTCAGCAGAAAGAGCCAGTAGATACTCAGAGGGAGGAGAAGTCAGCGTGTTTAGGACAGCGGGTCAGTGAGGCGCTTTAACTGAATTATCCTGCAGGCTTTAATGGGAGACGTGAGGGCAGCAGGCAGGCCGGTCTGCTGACAGCGGTCTTGTGATGGACAGAGCTAAGCAGGCTCAGACTCAGCAAGCTGTTTACTATCCGATGACTTAAACAGTCCCTGAAAATGTTAAATGTTTTTAAACATTAACGGGATGAATTTTAAGCTATTTTTCAAACATTGTGTCTAAGCGATTGATTGGTTTGGATGTTTCAGATTTCTCCCTTTAAATGTTAGATTAGTGAGTTAGTAGATTGTTGTTTTCCTGACAGATGCTGAGTTTTGTGTGCAGGCTACAGGATCAGTGGACAGATGGTATTCTTTAATCCTGTCTCTGCCTCCCATACTCCGACCGTCGTCACATCCACCTCAGATTTCTGTCTGAGTCTCTCCCCCTCCTCATTTCCACCCCTCACCACCTCTTCCTGCATGTTGCAGTAGCTCAATCTGGTCACTAGAAGGACATATGGTGCAGCTTTCTTATTCTGTAAACAAAAACATCATCCAGATCTATAAAACATCAGTGAAGAAAACATTAAACACAATAATTGTGGACAGATTTCATGCCGTCTCTGCAGACGAGGTAACCTGATTATCCTCCATCCCTGCATCATTTGACCCACTTTTCAGGAAAAGCCAGATTATTTTTTGCCACGTCACAAACAATAACAGAGATGCTTTTATAAACCAGCACTTAATCCACATTGATTGCTCTTGGATGAACCTTAGACATCTGACATCCTTTATGATGACAGAGGAGAGCTCCCAAGCCTCTGAAAACACAAATCTGTCTTTAATTCTGTTTAATTAAAAAAAAGGCTGCAAGTTTGGTTAAAGTGATGATTTGCTGAGAGAAACCTAAACCTAAGGAAAAAAGACTAAATCACCTAATGTTTGAGTAATTCCATGCCTCTTTTTGTTTTATTTGTTATTTGTTGTCCCTTTATGTAAACTTATGATGTTAGAAGAATAAATTCACTTTTAATTTAGGTTTTTCAGAAGAACGTCTTGAATTTGTCATTTTGGTTGATTTTTACCAGACCTATGTGAGTATCTGAGTATTGCATTTTGAATCCTATTTTATTCTTTTTCATTTATAGCTTATAAATTAAGACTTTTTGTAAATTTTTTTGGATTTATTTTCTAGTTAGAATAAGGTGTGTTGAATCTCTGAACATTTAACACCTTTTCTTGTTTTTCTGGTACATTAACTTCCACTTATCAGTTTGCTAATGTTAATTAAAATATAAATATTATCCCAGAATTTTTTCTGGTTTAAAGTAACTTGATTTCTAATTATTATCAGGGCCGGCCCAAGCCTCTGTGGGGCCACAAGCAGGATTTCCGTTTGGGCCCTCCAAACCAACAAGTCAACACCTGAGGATTCCTCCTTCCTAGGCAATACTATGTGTGTAACACATCCACTATCATTAGCATCATTTGTAAGCAGCTTACATACTTTCTGTGTTTTTATGGCTATTAATTAGAGCTTTACAGAAGTGAGAAGCCAACAAAAATGCTCAAGTTATTTTGTATTTCCAAATGCAGTGTTGTCTGAATGTGGTACAAATATTTGAAAGTACTACCAAACACTGAAATTATAGTAAAAAAGTAAAGTTTACTGTTGTTTACTCTTAAAATTTGGACTAAATGTGTAAAATGTGTAATTACCACACTGAAACCAAATGGCAATATAGAAAGTATTATTTACATATTTTCCTTGTGTAATATCATTTAGTTTTTATTGTTTAAAGATATTAAAATATTTTTTCTCATGTCATCTTTGCTGCTCTTTGGGGGGGGGGGGGGGCAAGGTAGTGTGGGCCCCATGCAATCGCTTAATTTGTGTATGCCTGGGGCCGCCAAATTTTTATAATTATTAGTGAAATGTTCAAAAACCAAAACAAATAAATTAATAGATAAGATAAAGCAGCTAACAATGTTTTCATTGAAAACAACAGCAATGGCGACAACTAATCAATACTGATTAAAAGCGGGCAGGACGTGTGGGGGATGGGGTTGTAGAGAGGAGCCGGTGAAGTTTGACTAAATACACGAAACAAACCGGATGCGCAAATATGAAACTTCAAAAGGTGAAAACACAACGCTTGTCAGACTCTCCTAATAAGTGTTAAAGACTCACATTTAGGTGCCAATAATATATTATTATAAGAACCCACGTTGTTTTTAAAAGTTGAATTTAATAGACTAAAATGTAATGTGCGAGAAACATGTAAATTTTAACTTTGATTTTGTTGTGAAGATCCAAACCGGAAAAGGAAACGTTTTAGAGTCGCCATCTTTACTCGGAGGTTGTTGGTCAGAAAAAAACAGGCAAGAGAGTAAACGGGAACGACGCAGGCGTGGAAATTAAATGAAACGGAGTCAAAACGCGTTAATACGACACGTTAAACAGGTAGGTTTACCATATATCTTTGTTTTATTTGTTATTTGTGCTATTTGTGTGTATTTTTGGTGATGGTTTGCTCTTTGAAAAGATGCGTAACATCATCACAAGAAGTATTTTGGAAAGAGCGTTGAACTGTTGGGGCGGTGCGTGTTTGGGTGAGGTTTAATCTGATGACTACAGCCGGATAAACCCAAACAAAAGGAGACTGGGCTGATTGGAGAAAATTCTGCAAAAGATGCTGTTGAGTTTTAAAGGGAACACATCCAGATGAATGCAGTAACTTTACCTAAACTTCTTTCTAAGTGAGTTCTATGTTTTTATCTTCATAAATTGATTGAATATCAAAGCCTGGGACTTGTTGCATAAGAAGGGAACATCCTGTGTGGAGAGAATCCATGTCCCTCTCTGCAGCCTGTCAGTGGGAGACGACTGTTAGTTTGCAGGAAGGATGAATAGAAAGCAGTTGTCCGAAATCTGAAATAGTCTGCAGATTTATCTATAATCTGTTACAATCTAACAATAAATAATGCTGCTTTCATCTGGACAAGCTTTGTATTACTGCAGAATTCCCTGAGATAGTTTTTTTAACATATCTTTTTATTTTTGTACCATTTTTTTCTGTGAAGTTGTAATGTTTACGACTGGCAAGTGTTCTGATATCTTGTAATTTCTGTTTCAGATTGAGATTTGGGTTCCTCCTCTTGGTGTATTCAGATGGAGAAGTGATCCAATAAGTGAAGATGCTCTCCACCCTCCTGCATCTCACATCTTTGTTTAGAGCTCAGTTTTAAACATCATTGACGTTTTCTCATTCGTATCATTAGTGAAGTCATGGCAAATATGTGCCCTTATGGCTGCTTCACCCACGCCGTGGTGCGGAGCATTCCAGAGACCTTTGGGAAAGCGGTGGGAGAAGGTCGTGAGAATGGGGAGACCACGGTGGACCTAGCCAAAGCCCAGCGTCAGTTCGGCTGCCTGACAGGAGCGCTGAGGCAGAAGGTCGGCATGCAGCTGATTGAAATCCCCCCTGACCCTGAGCTGCCAGAAAGCTGGAGGATAGAGGATGTGGCAGTGATCCAGGGGGACACGGCCCTCATCACCAGGCCCTTCAAGCAGCAGAGACGCAGTGAGGTAATGGCACAGCACAAAATGGCTTTAGGAACTGGTTTCTGTGCCCCTAATACTTCAATAGGTCTCTTAATCTGGTGTTTCTTCCAGAGCATCAAGATGGAGTCACAAAACATTCTCCACCCATTAGCAGTTTTTTTTAATTGTCACGTGATATAAATTCCAATTGATGTTGTTTTACCCGTATTTAGGTTGGTTTAAGTACATTTTTCCAGGAAATATTTTTTGTTTTATGATGTGTAATTCCACAAGTTTATTTACCCCCAAAATGTTTCAATTATTCAGAATTAGTCAAAATTTGCATTCAAGATTTCAGACGTGAATGAGAGTAAAACTACATTTACGAAATATTTTCTCCAATTAGTTGATTAAACTGTTTAATTTGGTCCTTGAACCGTCACCTTATCGTGGTGGAGGAGTTTGAGTGCCCTAATGATCCTAGGAGCTATGTTGTCTGGGGCACTTAGTGCCCCTGGTAGGGTCTCCCATGACAAATTGGTCTTAGGTGAAGGGTGAGACAAAGAACGGTTCGAAGGATCTTTCATGGCGGTTAAAATGAAGAGTCGGAGTACCCGGCCCGGAGGGTTACCGGGGTCCCACCCTGGAGCCAGGCCTGGGGTTGGGGCCCGTGAGCGAGCGCCTGGTGGCCGGGCTTTCGCCCATGGGGCCCGGCCGGGCCCAGCCCGAACCGGATACATGGGCTCGTCCAACTGTGGACCCACCATCCGCAGGAGGAACATGAAGGGTCCGGTGCAATGCGAATCGGATGGCAGACCAAGGCGGGAGCCTTGGCGGTCCAATCCCCGGACAAGAAAACTAGTTTTTGGGACATGGAACGTCACCTCGCTGGCGGGGAAGGAGCCGGAGCTTGTGGCAGAGGTTGAGCGGTACCGGCTAGATATAGTCGGACTCACCTCGACACATTGCATTGGCTCTGGAACCCGAGACCTGGAGAGGGGTTGGACACTCTACTTTGCTGGAGTTGCTCCGGGTGAGAGGCGGAGGGCTGGGGTTGGCTTTTTGTTAGCTCCGAGACTCTCTGCCTGTGTGTTGGGGTTTACCCCGGGGGACAAGAGGGTAGCTTCCTTGCGCCTTCGGGTCGGGGAACGGGTCCTGACTGTTGTTTGTGCTTATGGGCCAAATATCAGTTCAGAGTACCCACCCTTTTTGGAGTCCCTGGGACGAGTGCTAGATAGTGCTCCATCAGGGGACTCCATTGTCCTGCTGGGGGACTTCAATGCTCACGTGGGCAATGACAGCTTGACCTGGAGGGGTGTGATTGGGAGGAACGGCCCACCTAATCTGAACTCGAGCGGTGTTTTGTTATTGGACTTCTGTGCAAGCCGCAGTTTGGCCATAACGAACACCATGTTCGAACATAAGGATGCCCACCGGTACACTTGGTACCAGGGCAGCCTAGGTCACAGGTCGATGATAGATTTTGTAGTCGTATCATCTGACCTGCGGCCGTATGTTTTGGACACCCGAGTGAAGAGAGGGGCGGAGCTGCCAACTGATCACCACCTGGTGGTGAGTTGGATCAGATGGCAGGGGAACATGCCGCGTAGACCTGGCAGACCCAAACGCATAGTGAGGGTCTGCTGGGAACGCCTGGCAGAAGAACCTGTCAAGACGGTCTTCAACTCCCACCTCCGGCAGAGCTTTGACCACGTCCCGAGAGCAGTGGGGGACATTGAGTCCGAGTGGGCCTTGTTCCACTCTGCGATTGTCGAGGCGGCTGTTGCTAGCTGTGGCCGTAAGGTGGCCGGTGCCAGTCGTGGTGGCAACCCCCGTACCCGCTGGTGGACACCAGAGGTTCGGGGAGCCGTCAGGCTGAAGAAGGAGGCCTACAGGGCGTGGCTGGTCTGTGGGTCTCCGGAGGCAGCAGACAGGTACCGGATAGCCAAGCGGGGTGCAGCAGTGGCAGTTGCCGAGGCAAAATCTCGGGCGTGGGAGGAGTTTGGTGAGGCCATGGAGAAAGACTATCGATCGGCTCCAAAGAGGTTCTGGCAAACTGTCCGGCGCCTCAGGAGAGGAAGGCAGCAACTCGCTCGCACTGTTTACAGTGGGGATGGGGAGCTGCTGACGTCAACTGAGGCTATAGTCGGACGGTGGAAGGAATACTTTGAGGAGCTCCTCAATCCCACCAATGCGCATTCCGAGGAGGAACCAGAGCTGGGAGGCCTGGGGATGGACTGTCCGATCTCGGGGGCAGAAGTTGCTGAGGTAGTCTAACAACTACACAGCGGCGGAGCCCCGGGGGCGGATGAGGTTCGTCCTGGGTATCTCAAGGCTATGGATGTTGTAGGGCTGTCATGGTTGACACGTCTCTACAACATTGCGTGGTCATCGGGGGCAGTTCCTAGGGAGTGGCAGACCGGGGTGGTGGTCCCCATCTTTAAGAAGGGTGACCTGAGGGTGTGTTCCAACTATAGGGGGATCACACTCCTCAGCCTCCCTGGAAAGGTCTACTCCAAGGTACTGGAGAGGAGGGTCCGATCGATAGTTGAATCTCAGATAGAGGAGGAGCAATGTGGTTTTCGTCCTGGCCGTGGAACTGTGGACCAGCTCTATACCCTTGCAAGGGTGATGGAGGGGGCATGGGAGTTTGCCCAACCAATCCACATGTGTTTTGTGGATTTGGAGAAGGCTTATGACCGTGTCCCCAGGGGCACCCTGTGGGGGACGCTCCAGGAGTATGGGGTGGGTGGCTTTCTGTTAAGGGCCATTCAGTCCCTTTACCAGAGGAGCGTGAGTTTGGTCCGCATAGCCGGTAGTAAGTCGGACCTGTTCCCAGTGAGGGTTGGACTCCGCCAGGGCTGTCCTTTGTCACCGGTTCTGTTCATCACTTTTATGGACAGAATTTCTAGACGCAGCCGTGGTGTGGAGTGTGTCGAGTTTGGTGGCAGGAGAATCTCGTCTCTGCTTTTTGCGGATGATGTGGTCCTCCTAGTTTCATCCAGCTCTGACCTTCAGCTCTTGCTGGGTAGGTTCGCGGCCGAATGTGAAGCGGCTGGGATGAGGATCAGCACCTCCAAATCTGAGACCATGGTTCTCGACCGGAAAAGGGTGGCTTGCCACCTCCGGGTCGGGGGAGAGGTCCTACCTCAAGTGGAGGAGTTTAAGTATCTCGGGGTCTTGTTCACGAGTGAGGGTAGGAGGGATCGGGAGATCGACAGGCGGATTGGTTCGGCGTCTGCAGTGATGCGGACGCTGAGCCGATCTGTCGTGGGGAAGAGGGAGCTGAGCCAGAAAGCCAGGCTCTCGATTTACCGGTCGATCTACGTCCCAATCCTCACCTATGGTCATGAGCTTTGGGTAATGACCGAAAGAACGAGATCGCGGATACAAGCGGCCGAAATGAGTTTCCTCCGTAGGGTGGCCGGGCTCAGCCTTAGAGATAGGGTGAGGAGCTCGGACATTCGGGAGGGACTCGGAGTAGAACCGCTGCTCCTCCGGATCGAAAGGAGCCAGTTGAGGTGGTTTGGGCATCTGGTCAGGATGCCTCCTGGACGCCTCCCCGGGGAGGTGTTTCGGGCATGTCCTGCCGGCAGAAGGCCCCCGGGTCGACCCAGGACACGTTGGAGAGGTTACATCTCCAATCTGGTCCGGGAACGCCTTGGGGTCCTGCCGGAGGAGCTGGTGGACAAGGCCGGGGAGAGGACGGCCTGGAGCTCCCTAGTTGGGATGCTGCCCCCGCGACCCGGACCCGGATAAGCGGAGGAAGACGAGACGAGACGAGAAACTGTTAAACATCAGATCAAAATGAACACTGTGAAATATTAACATCATCAGAGAAATTATTGTCTTTATTATTTGGATTGTTGTTAAAAAAGTTAGCATTTCTTTATCAAAACCTCCTCCAAACAAAATTCTTCACAATAATGTATTTAAATACAACCAAGTAATTTTAATATGCACCGATAACATCACTTTAAATGCAGTATTTGGTTGCATAAAGGAGCAACGTGTAGTGATTGGTGCCATCTAGTGTTCATCATGAGAATCACACCCAGTCTGAAGCTGTTAAAGTTCCCTGATGAAAACATTAAAACTCGTCTTTGTGCAGCCAATAAAAATGCTTATAAATAAAACACACGCCTCTTCAAATTATAAACATCTACGGCACCTAATAGCATTTATAAGCTAAGCTAATTTGCAATGTGTGTTTCCAGATGGATCGTTTTGGAACATCAAACACCTGAACTACAAACAGTAAAGAATTAAAAACTTTTTAGTCATACATAAACACAAAATATTCATAAACAAGATAAATGTAAAAAAAAAAAATGCAAAGATCAATCTAAAAATAAAAGAGCATCCATTTTTGACTACACTTAAAATAAGTACACGGAACAAGGTAATCTGTGTTGAAGCTACAAATGTTTACAAAGTAAAATACACTTAAATGTAAGTAACTATAAATAAAACAAACTAGTACAGTGCACTGAAAATTTTGCTTACACTTAACTACTGCAAATCAGAACTAGTCCAGTAAACAGATTTCTAAGTACTCTGTGCTAGTTTGACTTAGTTAAAGTAAGTTGTGTTCAAGTTTAGATTTTCTTTCTAGGTATTAGAACACATAATTACCTAGTGATGTGTATTTATTATTTTAAGTGCAATCAGTTTACATGCTTTTTTCCACTAAGCGGAACAAATCAGATTTTACAGTGTAATCTTTCTGTGAGGATTTGCCTTTTATGCACCGTTTCACATACAGAAGTAAATCCACTCAACGTCAAATTACACGATGAGGCTTCTACTGATGCTGATATTTCCCGTTGGTGTCCTCCTTCAGGTGGAGGCGGTTAGGAGGGTGATGTCAGAGCTCAGCTTGACTGTGGTGGAGATGGGCGGAGAACAAGGAGACTCTGGAGGCGCCACCCTGGAAGGCAGCGACGTCCTCTTCACAGGAAGGGAGTTCTTCGTCGGGATTTCGTCCCACACCAACCGAAGAGGGGCGGAGGTGTTGGCAGACACGTTCAGGGTAAGAAGACAAAATAGTATCTTATAAACTCAGTTGCTTGCTCAGTTGCCCTGCTGATTTCATTCCTACTACCTTGTTAATCAGGATGTTTGACCAAATTGACTCGTGCATTGTAGATTTAATTAATTTATCCCTACAATCTGGCTCTGCACCATCTGTTTTCAAACATGCAGTTATTTAACCTTCTTTAAAAAAACAAGTTTGGACTCATCTCAGCCTAAAAATTACAGACCCATTTCTAAATTACCCTTTATCTCTAAAATAGTGGAAAAGGTTGTGGCAGATCAACTGATTACTTTTCTGGAGCTACACAAGTTTTGATAAATTCCAGTCTGGTATTCGTAAAAAGCATTTAACAGAAACAGCTTTGCTTAAAGTTCCCAGTGACATCATGATGGCTGCAGACAAGGGGGAATTCACAGTGTTAGTATTATTAGATCTCTCTGCAGCTTTTGACTGTTGATCACAGCACCTTAATGAACAGACTTGGTGACTCGGTGGGGATCTCTGGAACTGTTCTAGACTGGTTTAGATCATGCCTTTCTAACAGAAGTTACAGTGTCTGTAGAAACCAAATCATGTCAGGTTCTACTGATCTGTTCTGTGGGGTACCCCAAGGCTCTGTTTTGGGTCCACTGTTGTTTCTGCTATACATACACCCTCTTGGACAGATACTTGATTCTTTTCATAATGTCTCTTATCACCTATATGCAGATGATATTCAGCTGTACTGCTCCTTTAAGGATTCTGAGTTCTATAAACTGTCTGAATTACTGGTGTCTATCAGCTATCACCAGCTGGCTGGAAGATAACTTCCTTCAGTTAAACTCTGAAAAGACTGAATGTCTGATTATTGCCCCTGAGAACATGGTTCCCCTGATTAGTTTAAAACTTGGTCATTTATCCTCTGCCGTCAAGACAAACTTAGGGAATTTGGGTGTTGTTCTTGACCAATCACGGTCTCTTGAAGGTCACTCAGAAACGTTGGTCCGAAACTGTTTTTATCATTTAAAAAATATCTCCAAACTGCGAAGGTTGGTGTCAAAACAGGAACTTGAAATAGTTATCCATGCCTTTATCTCCTCCTGACTAGATTACTGTAACACACTCTTCACATATTTTAACAAAAAAGCACTTGACCTCCTTCAGTTGGTCCAGAACTCTGCAGCGAGGCTCCTAACTGGAGCAAACAGAAGAGCACACATCACTCCTATTCTAATGTCTGTGCACTGGTTACCCGTTAACTTTAGAGTTCATTTTATAATCCTGACTATAACTTTCAATGCTCTACAAGGTCAAGCTCCTCCCGATATTACTGAACTGTTTAAGCCTTATGCTCCAACCCGTACCCTCAGGTCCACCCACCAAAACCTTCTAGAAGTTCCAAAGACCAGATACAAAAGTCGAGATGATTGCTCCTTACAGACTGTTGCACTCCGACTCTGGAATGATCTTCCTTTATCCTTACGCAGCATTGACAGTCCGGACACTTTTAAAAAACAGCTAAAGACCCTTTAATTTAAAGCTGCTTTTACCCTAAATCATTTATTTTCTTATTTTTAACTCAAATTTTTCTGATGTTATTCTGTTTATGATTTAATGACTTATTTAGTTTTGATCTATGTGAAGCACTTTGTGATTCTATGTCTGATAAGTACTATATAAATAACATTTACTTACTTACTTGTAAATAACAGAGAGATAATGTACTCTAAAACCTATGTGAAGCATCTGACTGGTATTTGAATGCAAAAATCTACATTTGGTTTTAGTTCATCAGAAACTTCTAAACCACCTGACTCCAAAACTATTAGCATCACACATGTTTTATTTAAAGGTAAGGTGAGTAGCGATGGGTACCGAATTCGGTACTTTTTAAGGTACCGACCGAATTCCATAGTGCCGACCGAGCACCGATTCACGTCATTTGAAACGGTGCCTCGTTTCGGTACCCGTCCTTCATAGCGAGAACTTGACTAGACAGCTGCGCATGCGCAAGAGCGTTATGTCGTCGGTCGCTGCGAGCCAGTTGTAAACAGAGCAGCATGGTAGAAAGAACGCAGGCTAAAGCTTGGGTCCACTTCACTAAATGTGATGGGTAACTGGATGATGATGAAACCAGCGACAACGATCTAAGTGAGACATCCTCATCTTAACCTGCTCCGGTTGGTAAATAACGTTAGCTTGATTTGTTAGCTTCTGTTTCGCTAATGGTGTGTTCGCTTTCTCCTCGGAACTCCGAATTTTCGACTAGAAGAACATGAACACGCTCTAAAGTTTGGCTTCTGTTCTAAAATAAAATGTTTTATTTTATTTTAATTACCTTAAAAGACTCAAAGTCTCTTTTTACACTTTATATTTATTTAGTCAGGATCGTTGTCAAGTCGACGCCAGAAACAATGAAACACAACTTGAATATCAGATGAACAACAAGGCTTTATTCAACCGGCATTCATACAAGTTATCAATCATGAACGAAACATTTCTCTTACCGTTGCTTATGGGTGGAGAGCTGAACACCCCAGTTAGAAAACGTAATCCATGATAGGTGAAGAACTGAACACATGTAATCCATGAACCTCGTCAGGTAGAATCCTTCAAGCAGCTCTAACCCCCTGAGCCCTCCTCTGCTCCTTATACATTCCCTGATGTGCGTGCAAAGCTGCACACCTCCACCATGATTACCTTGATTACATCCTCATGATCACATTATGTTCGGCTCTACCATGATTACCCTTGATTACATCCTCATGATAAGTGTGATTGACAAACAGTAGTGATCAATAACTTATATAAAGCAATTATACAACAGATGACAAGTTCATTTTTATTACATTCCACTCTTGAACTTTTCATCTAATTTATGTAACATATCCATCACCATTTCCCCATCAAAACCAACGTCATTTATAACATACCTTGTAGTTCCACTTTAATTTTCATCGTAGTCTTTGCATTATTACCCAATTTATTTCTCTTCTTAATCGAATAACATACCAACAAATAATAAGATTACACAATGTTAGAATGCTGATTATAATTAATGCTGCAATCATAGGTGGAATTAGCACTTTATTAGCGGTACTCGACATGCCTGTAAATATATCCCACCAATGATGAGCGGAAGCCTGTTCAATCAATGTAGCAACATGTTTTATTTCCCCTTGTGCCACAAGAGTAGACACCATGAGCCTGGAAAGGTTGGACCTATGAGAGTCGATCAATTTTGCCACTTCAGTGGAACCATCCAATGCGCATTTGAATCGTTCCAGTGAGAGTGTCCAAGGGGAGTGTAAAACCTCCCATTGTATCTTAGTCAGCCGACTAGATACAGTGTAATTACTCAACCAATAGGTCACGTTATTCCATTCCCACATATGTATACCCTTGAGACAACCTGAAAAGGGAACTGAAGGTACCTGTGGGGAATTGGTCATTGTAGCCACGCATAAGGTGTTAGGACCCACCTGCCAAAACTGTTCCTCTGGGGGTGTGACCGTCCAATCACAGAGTACGACCCTTGAATCAGTGAAACATGGATTGCTATGTCCTTTTACCAATGGGCAGGCTAAACCCTTATCAGTCTCATCACAGTGTTTTACTTCATATGTTCGATTTGTTTTAACATCCCACCACTCTCCACTAACATGGAGATACCAAAACCCTTTAGTGGTTATCACCGGCAGTATCTGATATCTACACACAGTCATTACTGATGTCATATTATACTGATCCCAGTATCCAGTACACATAGATTTATTACAAATCGTCATTTCTGCATGTGGCTGTAGCCATAATGAACTACTGATGTTCCATAATGTTCGCCATGCATGATAGTTATTACTCATTACCTGTATTTGAAACCTATTTCTTTGTGTCTCAGCATGAATAGTCTGCAAGGAACAGACTGTCCAATTACTTATGTGTGACAAATTATGCAATGCATCATAAGTTTCATTCCAAAGCTTTAGATTCCATTTAAATACACTTTTCCACACATCACTTCCTTCTAACTGACTAGATACAGTCGAAGGCATCCATCTTGCAGTCTTGGTGACAGCTTGTGCGGTGTATTCTCCAGTGTTGGACAGCATAGTTCGTGTTACCTCATTGTCTGCTGTGTTAGCCAGACCATACAAAGTTCCAGTTCCTCCTAGCACGGTGTCATACCATGCTCGCCTCCTCCTGTTGCAAGGCGGAATAGGAGGGAATTTCACAGTCCATCGCACATATTCGGCTACCCTTATTTGTCCCATTTGTTGACAAGTGTGAACCAGGGGAGCTACAGCTGTCTGCGTAGCTCTAGCTGTGTCGGGCAGCACCCAGAATATGTACAAATAGGCGTGTCCTCCTGTGATTACAGTTCCATTCCTGATCCAGAAATCGTGATCAACCTTCATACTCCAATTTGTGCCATTTTGTATGCAAGTACCATTCCCCTGATGGTATGCACAGATGCGCGCTGCAGAATTAAAGGTTACTGTTGATCCTTGAACCAACACCCCCGGGCTGATCACCCTTCCTCGGAATTTAAGACATCCTCTGCACCGGTACATCTTACCGGTAGATGTTAGGTTTCCCAAGTAGCAAGCGTCATTTGCTCTGCATGTGAATGTGCCTTGAGTGCGGTTGGACATACTGCTAACCAATTCCAGATGGCCCATGACCCCTTCTTCCAACACTTGTCCTTCCGTGAGCCCCCAACAGAAATGTGCCCTCAGTGCGATGACAGCGAGGACATGGAGGACGATGACCAAACATCCGACACCACCAGGTCCGCGGAGCCCATCCATCGCCTCGACAAGGGTTCAATCCTTTTGTAGGGGAAGGGGACCCAGTCAACCGCCGTCACTCAGACACCCGCCTATGGGATACATACAAAACTGCAGATAGAATGACAAGCATTAATTTTCTCTCCTGTAACATTTGTTTATCGGAATATTAATCCATTTTTCCTCTCCGGGGAACAATACACTTACCACAGCATCTTTTCCCTGTGC